CTCCACCCCCACAACTCCCAATCGGTGATGGGGCAGTTGTGGAGAGAGTGGAGAGTTTCCCATACCTGGGCAGTGTGCTTATGACTGGCTCCAGTTTAACAGCAGAGGTATCACTCCGAATCAGTCGAGCGGCAATATCTTTTCATCGGTTGCGTAACGCTGTGTGGAAGCTACCTGGTCTGTCGCTCCGCACTAAGCTTCAGGTCTTCTCGGCCACGGTCATTCCCTCCCTTCTCTATGCTTGCGAAACGTGGACCCCCCTAATGGAACATCTTCGCCGGTTAGAAACATTTAGGCTGGCCTGCCTACGATCCATCCTGGGTTTAACCAGACTGGATTGTGTGAGGAGCTCACAAATCCTTGAAAGATCTGGGCAGGGTCCCATCGGTGAGCTCCTCCGGCAGGCAAGGCTGCGATGGCTGGGTCATGTAGCCCGCATGCCCAGCCACCGCATGCCGAAACAGCTTTTGTTTGGCCGGATTGAGGGGGCTAAGCGGGCGCGGCACGGGCTAGAGAAGAGATGGAGTGATGTGGTACAGGAGGACGTGGAGCTGAGTGGACTTGCCGATGACTGGTACCAGCGGTGTCAAGATCGGCCTCTGTGGAGGAGGCTCGTGAAGGATGCTACTGGGCAGTTGGAGGCAGTCGCCCTCCAACAACAACGGAGGGCGGAGGAGCGACGCTCACAACAGCGAGCGGAGCGCCGGGTGGCTAAAGCACAGCAGGTTGGCACAGTAGGGGGCACAGGTGGTGCATCAGCCAGTCATCTCAGTCAGTCGACCCGTGGCACCTGGGTCTGCCCCGTGACCTCCTGCCAGCGGGCGTTCGACACTTTACGTGGCCTCAGGGTGCACATAGCCTGGCACAAGCGTCGTGGTGACGTCACCGCCACTTAGTGGCGAATGGCGGTTGTTGTTGTTGTTGTGTCAGTGCGTCTGTGTGTCAGTGTGTGTCTATCAGTGTGTCTGTGTGTCAGTGTCTATCAGTGTGTGTGTGTGTCTATCAGTGTGTCTGTGTGTGTCTGTAAGTGTGTCAGTGTGTGTGTCAGTGTCTCAGTGTGTCTGTGTGTGTGTCAGTGTGTCTATCAGTGTGTCAGTGTGTGTGTCAGTGTGTGTGTCTGTGTGTGTGTCAGTGTGTGTGTCTGTGTGTGTGTGTCAGTGTGTGTCTGTGTGAGTGTCAGTCTATCTGGCTGTCAGCACCTCTGCCCGAAGGTAGCAAGGGGCCGTTACTAATGCAACAAAAGCGGCAACTTTTCTGTCGTGTACTAGAATTTACTGTTTTTATTTTATTTTCTTTCATTCGTTTGGCTGCCCTGCCTCCTTGTGCCCCCCTCCCTCTCGCTCCCCCCCCCAGGGCCATCATCAATCACGCTCAGACAGCGGCTGTGGTCAACGTCACCACCGCCACCACCACCACCACCACCATTCTGCCCCCCACGGTGGTGGAGGGAGTGGGGTGGTGGTGGTGGTGTGGAGGGAGTGGGGTGGTGGTGGTGGTGTGGAGGGAGTGGGGTGGTGGTGGTGGTGTGGAGGGAGTGGGGTGGTGGTGGTGGTGTGGAGGGAGTGGGGTGGTGGTGGTGGTGTGGAGGGAGTGGGGTGGTGGTGGTGGTGGTGTGGAGGGAGTGGGGTAGTGGTGGTGGTGGTGTGGAGGGAGTGGGGTAGTGGTGGTGGTGGTGTGGAGGGAGTGGGGTGGTGGTGGTGGTGTGGAGGGAGTGGGGTGGTGGTGGTGGTGTGGAGGGAGTGGGGTGGTGGTGGTGGTGTGGAGGGAGTGGGGTGGTGGTGGTGGTGTGGAGGGAGTGGGGTGGTGGTGGTGGTGTGGAGGGAGTGGGGTGGTGGTGGTGGTGGTGTGGAGGGAGTGGGGTGGTGGTGGTGGTGGTGTGGAGGGAGTGGGGTGGTGGTGGTGGTGTGGAGGGAGTGGGGTGGTGGTGGTGGTGTGGAGGGAGGGGGGTGGTGGTGGTGGTGTGGAGGGAGTGGGGTGGTGGTGGTGGTGTGGAGGGAGTGGGGTGGTGGTGGTGGTGTGGAGGGAGTGGGGTGGTGGTGGTGGTGTGGAGGGAGTGGGGTGGTGGTGGTGGTGTGGAGGGAGTGGGGTGGTGGTGGGGGTGTGGAGGGAGTGGGGTGGTGGTGGTGTGGAGGGAGTGGGGTGTTGGTGGTGGTGTGGAGGGAGTGGGGTGGTGGTGGTGGTGTGGAGGGAGTGGGATGGTGGTGGTGGTGTGGAGGGAGTGGGGTGGTGGTGGTGGTGTGGAGGGAGTGGGGTGGTGGTGGTGGTGGTGTGGAGGGAGTGGGGTGGTGGTGGTGGTGGTGTGGAGGGAGTGGGGTGGTGGTGGTGTGGAGGGAGTGGGGTGGTGGTGGTGGTGTGGAGGGAGTGGGGTGTTGGTGGTGGTGTGGAGGGAGTGGGGTGGTGGTGGTGGTGTGGAGGGAGTGGGGTGGTGGTGGTGGTGTGGAGGGAGTGGGGTGGTGGTGGTGGTGTGGAGGGAGTGGGGTGTTGGTGGTGGTGTGGAGGGAGTGGGGTGTTGGTGGTGGTGTGGAGGGAGTGGGGTGGTGGTGGTGGTGTGGAGGGAGTGGGGTGGTGGTGGTGGTGTGGAGGGAGTGGGGTGGTGGTGGTGGTGTGGAGGGAGTGGGGTGGTGGTGGTGGTGTGTAGGGAGTGGGGTGGTGGTGGTGGTGTGGAGGGAGTGGGGTGGTGGTGGTGGTGTGGAGGGAGTGGGGTGGTGGTGGTGGTGTGGAGGGAGTGGGGTGGTGGTGGTGGTGTGGAGGGAGTGGGGTGGTGGTGGTGGTGGTGTGGAGGGAGTGGGGTGGTGGTGGTGGTGTGGAGGGAGTGGTGGGAATGAAGTGAGTGCGCTGGGTGAGCGGCTGTGCGGAATTTCAACTTCGCTTTGAAGGACGCCGCAAAACTGTTTTTACAAAAGAAAAACGGCGATCCGATACGCACACACACACACACAGACCACACACACACGCACACACACACACACACAGAACACACACGCGCACACACACACAGACCACACACACACGCACACACACACACACAGAACACACACGCACACACACTCGCACACACTCGCACACACAGAACACACACACACACAGAACACACACGCGCACACACACACAGACCACACACACGCACACACACACAGAACACACACGCGCACACACACACAGACCACACACACACACAGAACACACACGCGCACACACACACAGACCACACACACACACAGAACACACACGCGCACACACACACAGACCACACACACACAGAACACACACGCGCACACACACACACACACACTCGCACACACAAGCACACACAGAACACACACACACACAGAACACACACACGCACACACACACAGACCACACACACAGACCACACACACACACACAGAACACACACACGCACACACACACAGACCACACACACAGACCACACACACACACACACAGAACACACACACACACAGAACACACACACGCACACACACACAGACCACACACACAGACCACACACACACACACACAGAACACACACACGCACACACACACAGACCACACACACAGACCACACACACACACACAGAACACACACACGCACACACACACAGACCACACACACAGACCACACACACACACACAGAACACACACGCGCACACACACACAGACCACACACACTCGCACACACACACACAGAACACACACGCGCACACACACACAGACCACACACACTCGCACACACAAGCGCACACACACACACAAGCGCACACACACAGAACACACACGCACACACAAGCGCACACATACGCGCGCGCACACACACACACACACACAGACCACACACGCACACACTTACACGCACACTTACACACACACTTACACGCACACTTACACGCACACACACACTTACACACTTACACACACACTTACACGCACACTTACACGCACACACACACTTACACACTTACACACGCGCGTGTGTCCGTCCTGGCCACGACGAGCCCCGGGCCCTGTGTGTGTCTCTCACGGGGGGATTCCTCGTAACAGGTCGCTGCGTTTACACCTCACGGCCAAGTTCGGCTCCACCGCCACCCCTTCCACGGCATCATCGCTGCGGTAAACTTATTCAATAATAAATCGATTTCATTTTATTTTACCAGGAATGAGAGGCCCCAAGAATATCTTCTTGCCAGAAGCGACCTGGCCGTCGCAAACGATGGCCCAGCGTAGGGCGAGGCCTATCGTCATCGTCGTCATCGCCGTCATCGCCGTCATCGCCGTCATCGCCGTCATCGCCATCATCGTCGTCATCGCCGTCATCGCCGTCATCGCCGTCATCGCCGTCATCGCCGTCGTGTGGGAATTCATAGCAGCTGCAGCAGCGGCAGCAGCCAAACAACTCTGAAAAGTGCGGTGACGTCGATTCCAAAATGCGGCGGGGAACAACCGGAGGACCCGGAGAAAAATCCACGCGACCACGGGGAGAGAGACGGAGAGACACGCACACTCCAAATATACAGGAGCAGACGTCAGGGTCGGGATCGAACCCACCACCTCCTGTACACCAGGCGAGGTAGTTAACATCTCACCAAGGAGAGAGAGGGAGAGACACGCAGACTCCAAATATACAGCAGCAGCAGCAGGGGTCAGGGTCGGGATCGAACCCACGACCTCCTGCGTACCAGGCGAGGTAGTTAACATCTCCTCGCCACCGGGGCTGCCTTCAATAATCACCCCGGGGAGGACCGCCGTTGTCTCTCCCCGGCGGCGGTGTTTACTGCACACCGCGCCAGGGCAACACATTTGAGGCCGAGTCGACCTAGGGGTGGCCCGCCGTGGTGTTTGCGGCCGTGAGCGGGAATCGAACTCGTGTCGCCGGGGTCCCCGTGCGCTCACGAATGCTTCAAATCAAGATTGCGCAGTTTCAAGCTCGCAGCTTGGCTCACCGACCCGCGACGACCTCTTGACCCCGTGCGTAATTATTGCCGCCCCCAGCGGCCCTCACCTGCAGAAGCATTGTGGCACCTCCCCGCTCCCGTAGAGCGGGAAGAGGAAGGGCGTGTTGCCGTAGCGACCCAGGCTGGCCAGGAAGCGGCGCGTGGCGGCGAGCCCCTCCTCCGTGGAGACCTCCTCCGTCGTCATGGCGATGGAGTGGACCACGAAGTGGCGCAGGTTCGGGGTCAGCTGACGCGCCTGCAGGAAGCTGGCAAACGGCTTGCCCCTGAAGGCTGTGGCGGAGGGGGCCGGGCGGGGGTGGGGGGTGGAGGGGGGTGTGATGGAGGGATGGGGAGGGAGGAGAGGGAGGAGAGGGGGGAGGGAGGAGAGGGGGGAGGGAGGAGAGGGAGGAGAGGGGGGGGGAGGAGAGGGGGGAGGGAGGAGAGGGGGGAGGGAGGAGAGGGAGGGCGGAGAGGGGGGAGGGAGGGAGGAGAGGGGGGGGATGGAGGGAGGGATGAAGGGGAGGAGGGAGGGAGGGAGGGAGGGAGGAGAGGGGGGGGGATGGAGGGAGGGATGAAGAGGAGGAGGGAGGGAGGGAGGGAGGAGAGGGGGGAGGGAGGAGAGGGGAGAGGGAGGAGAGGGGGGGGAGGAGAGGGAGGAGGGAGGAGAGGGGGGGGAGGGAGGAGGAGAGGGAGGAGGAGAGGGGGGGGGAGGGAGGGAGGAGAGGGGGGAGGGAGGGAGGGAGGGAGGAGTGATGATGGAGACATTGAGGGTGGGAGGGTAGCGTGAGGTGCGTGGAGGAAGAGGAGCAGGGAAAGGACAAGGAGACAACAATTTGTTTTCAGATGACTAAGAATAAAAAAAATGAATTCTCATCGGCATCATCATCACGGAAATAATTAGGGAAACTAATTACGTTTGCACGCTCCGTGACATTCACTCCGGGCTGGGGTCGCGGCTGGGTGCGGGAGGTTGGGGAGTGCTTCGGGGGGAAGTTCAGTGAAGAGTGTGTGTGTATGTGTGCGCGCGTGTGTACGTGTCTGTGTGTACACGTGTGTGTATGTGTGAGTGAGCGGTAGTGCAGTGGTGTAGCGCTACGAACTCGGTGACCCGAGTTCGATTCCCGCTCACGGCCAACACCGGTGAGGATTTTTGGACCGGGCATGGGCCTCCACCTGGGTCGACTCAGCCTCAAATGAGTACCTGCTGCGGTGCGTAAACATCGCCACTGGGGAGACAAAGGCGGTTGGGCGTGGTGTTGGCCACCTACGATCCATCCTGGGTTTAACCCGCAGGCTGGATTGTGTGAGGAGCTCACAAATCCTTGAAAGATCTGGGCAAAGTCCCATCGGTGAGCTCCTCCGGCAGGCAAGGCTGCGTTGGCTGGGTCATGTTGCCCGCATGCACAGCCACCGCATTCCGAAACAGCTTTTGTTCGGCCGGATCGAGGGGGCTAAACGGGCGCGGCACAGGCTAGAGAAGAGATGGAGTGATGTGGTACAGGAGGACGTGGAGCTGAGTGGACTTGCCGATGACTGGTACCAGAGGTGTCAAGATCGGCCTCTGTGGAGGAGGCTCGTGAAGGATGCTACCGGGCAGTTGGAGGCAGTCGCCCTCCAACAACAACGGAGGACAGAGGACCGATGCTCACAACGAGCGGAGCGCCGGGCGGCTAAAATGCAGTAAGTTGGCACAGTAGGGCTACAGGTGATGCATCTGCCAGTAGTCATCTCAGTCAGTCAACCAATGGCACCTGCTGGGTCTGTCCCGTGACCTCCTGTCAGCAGCGAGCCTTCGACAACTTCAAGTGGCCTCAAAGTGCACCTAGCCTGGTACAGGCGCCATGGTGACGTCACTTAGTGGCAAATGGCAGAGCATTGTATTATTGTGTTGACTCCTTGAAAAATGATTCTGATTGGTGTTTTAACATCTTAACACAACTCCTGTTTTGATAGTGGCAAGAAAGCTCCCATATTGAACCCCAAGTACGATTACCTACGACCCCGCACAAGACTCAAACGTCTGTGGAGACAGGGAGACAGGGAGACAGGGAGAGAGAGAGAGGCACGGAGAGAGACACGGAGAGTGAGACAGGGAGAGAGACAGGGAGAGAGACACAGGGAGAGAGAGAGACACAGGGAGAGAGAGACACAGGGAGAGAGAGACACAGGGAGAGAGAGATACAGGGAGAGAGAGACACAGGGAGAGAGAGACACAGGGAGAGAGAGACACGGAGAGAGACAGGGAGAGACAGGGAGAGAGACACGGAGAGTGAGACAGGGAGAGAGACAGGGAGAGAGACACAGGGAGAGAGAGACACAGGGAGAGAGAGACAGGGGAGAGACAGTGAGAGAGACAGGGAGAGAGACAGGGAGAGAGACAGGGAGAGAGACAGGGAGAGAGAGACAGGGAGAGAGACACACAGGGAGAGAGAGACACAGGGAGAGAGAGACAGGGAGACAGAGAGACACAGGGAGAGAGAGACACAGGGAGAGAGATACAGGGAGAGAGAGACAGGGGAGAGACAGGGAGAGAGAGACAGGGGAGAGACAGGGAGAGAGAGACAGGGAGAGAGACAGGAAAACAGAAAGACAGGGAGACAGGGAGAGAGACAGAAAGACAGGGAGAGACAGGGAGAGACAGACAGGGAGAGAGAGACAAGGAGAGAGACACAAGGAGGGAGACAGGGAGAGAGAGACACAGGGAGAGAGAGACAGGGACAGAGACAGGGACAGAGACAGGGACAGAGACAGGGAGAGAGAGACAGGGAGAGAGAGACAGAAAGACAGGGAGACAGACAGGGAGACAGACAGGGAGAGACAGGAAGAGACAGGTAGAGAGAGAGAGAGAGACAGGGAGAGAGAGACAGACAGGGAGAGACAGGTAGAGAGAGAGACAGGGAGAGAGACAGGAAGACAGACAGGGAGAGAGACAGAGAGACAGGTAGAGAGAGAGACAGGGAGAGAGAGAGACAGGTAGAGAGAGACAGGGAGAGAGACAGAGAGACAGACAGGGAGAGACAGGGAGAGAGACAGAGAGACAGGTAGAGAGAGAGACAGGGAGAGAGAGAGACAGGTAGAGAGAGAGAGACGAAGAGACAGGTAGAGAGAGAGACAGGGAGAGAGACAGGGAGAGACAGGTAGAGAGAGAGACAGGGAGAGACAGGTAGAGAGAGACAGGTAGAGAGACAGGAAGAGACAGGTAGAGAGAGAGAGACAGGTAGAGAGACAGGGAGAGACAGGTAGAGAGAGAGACAGGTAGAGAGACAGGTAGAGAGAGAGAGAGAGACAGGGAGTAGCGTGGGAGGGGGGTTGAACCCCGCACCTGCGAACTCGTGTGCTCGCTGCTCGTGGTCCAGGGAGAGTTCGAGCAGCTTCATGAGCAGCCGCTTCTCCACCAGCGACACGCGGCGGCTGGAGAAGACGTCGGCTCGCGAGCACGGCACCTGTGACAAAGATCCCCCGTGTAGCCCACGCAGACTGCCGGGGCAAGTGCTGAGAGCGAACAGGGCACCCGTGCCCCCCTCCCACGGCAAAGACAAAGACCCGCCCCCCCCCGCCCCGTGTCGCCCATGCTGGCTGATGATCGCCGTGGCTCCGATGAAAGTGCCAGGTCAGGTTGGGTCGGGTAGAAATCAGAATCAGAAAGGGTTTTATTCGCCATGTAAGTTCACACCGACACGGAATTTACTTTGGCAGGATGGTGCATACATTCAACATATAGGAATCTAAAATCTTAAATAAGTTTTAAACAAGTCTTACTATAATAAGGGTTAAAAGTCTAACACCAAGTGGCTGAAGTATATAAAATTAAATAAATATCGAATATAAAATAGCTTTAAGATATAATTTTAAAAATAAAAAATACAAATAGCATAGAGGGTCCAGCGAAAGCGGGATGGGGTCTCATGAAAGGTGGTCAGAATCGCGGGTCTAGTGAAAGTGGGTCCCGGTCGCGGGTACCGGCGAAAGTGGATCAGCTCAGGTTGGGTCGGGTAGGATCGTTTGGTCCAGCGAAAGCGGGTTGGGGGTCTCATGAAAGTGGGTCGGGTCACGTTGTGGGCCAAATGAAAGTGGGTCGATTCGTGGGTCTAGTGAAAGTGGGTCGGCTTGAGGCCAAGTGAAACTGGGTCGGCTTGGGGTCTGGTGAAAGTGGGTCGAGTCGTGGGTCTAGACAAAGTGGGTCGGCTTGAGGCCTAGTGAGAGTGGGTCGGCTTGGGGTCTAGTGAAAGTGGGTCGGCTTGAGGTCTAGTGAAAGTGGGTCTGCTTGGGGTCTGGTGAAAGTGGGTCGATTCGTGGGTCTAGTGAAAGTGGGTCTGCTTGAGGCCTAGTGAAAGTGGGTCTGCTTGAGGCCTAGTGAAAGTGGGTCCGCTTGGGGCCTAGTGAAAGTGGGTCGAGTCGTGGGTCCAAGAAAAGTGGATCGGGTCAGGCTGTCGGGTCAAGGGTCAGGGGAAAGTGGGTCGTGGGTCACCCCCCCCGCCCCCGCCCGCGATGCCCCCACCTGCTGCACGTGTCCGTGGAGCAGCGTGAGGACGCGCGTGACGCTCTTGAACTCAGCGTAGCGGCTCACTTGAGACTTGGTGAGGAGCTCCACCAGGGGACCGCGCGCAAACAGGCACTGGGCACGCACGGACACACACATGGACGCACACACACACACGCACGGACGCACACGCACGGACACACACGCACACACACGCACGGACGGACGCACACGCACGGACACACACGCACGGACACACACATGGACGCACACACGCACATGGACGCACACACGCACACGCACGGACGCACACACGCACGGACACACGCGCACACACGCACGGACGCACACGCACGGACACACACACGCACGGACAGACGCACACACACGCACGGACGCACACGCACGGACACACACACACACGGACGCACACACACGGACACACACGCACAGACACACACACACGGACACAGACGTACGAGCACACACACGTACGGGAACACGCATACACGCGCACGCATGGACACGCACGGGCACACACGTAATAGACTGTTGGAGTAAGTGCACCTTTGAAGGCCGGCACGGCACACGAGGGGGTTGGTGGCCAGCACCACGCCCGGCCGTCTTTGTCTCCCCAGTGGCGATGTTTACTACACACCACCAGTGCCGGATTATCCTAGTAGCACAAGTAGCTACATATGTAGTAGTAGCTACTACATGTGTAGTAGCTACTACTACATGTGTAGTAGCTACTACACATGTAGTAGCAACTACTACATGTGTAGTAGCTACTACATATGTAGTAGCAACTACTACATGTAGTAGCTACTACAAGGGCACATGCGTAGCTACTACACAAGTAGCTACAAATGCTACGCGCCACGTACTTTCAAGGGCCCCGCGCTAAATGCTTTCAAGCTGTCAATTCCGGTTCAGTGATCCTGCACTTGCTCTATCACTATAGTACAGGCGTGGGGCTAATGTTTTGACTCGCGGGCCACAATGGGTTCTAAAATTTGACAGAGGGGCCGGGCCAGGAACAGATGGACGGAGCGTTTGTGTGAACTAAATATAAATGACGTGGTAAAAATCATGACGTGAAAGGATTTGGCCTTTAACAGGTGGCAAAGCGTTTACTTGCGAGGCAATTTAAACAAATTGCACGAACATGAACGATACAAAAACGTATCGTAACTCCCGGTCAAAGTGCGCCATCTAATGGGGAAATGGGGGGCATTACAGGAGAAAGGTAAAATTTAATTTAATAGTAATAATATTTGGACAAGTTCAGCGGGCTGGATTAAAAAGCCCAACGGGCCGTACTTTGCCCACGTCTGCTATAGTACTATACCGCCTTTACATTTTACGCACGACCGGGTGTTTAAGGTTAGTGATTTGTCGAATTGTCTGGGCAGTATAGCAAATGAAAAAACACAATTACTATACTACGCAAGTAAAAAAATAATGTGTTTTAATATTTACGTGTTTTTTATTTATTTATTCAGGGCCCCTTTATAACATCATATGCTACAGGCCCCGCACTGACCACCACGCCAACTCTCCCCGCAATGTCGCACGGACAAACACACACGCACAGACATTTCCCGTGATGATGCCGATGATGTTGACGACGTCAACCAACGATGATGTCAGTTCTGATGACCTCAATGACGATGATGATAATTCGCATCAATGCTGATATCTACATGATGATAATTACGATGACGATAGCAGCGATGACGATGATGATGATGATGTTGATGACGATGTTGACGGTGACGAGGTGCACCCCGCCCAGGCTCACGTTCGGAGCGAGGTCGATGTTGAAGCGTCGTCCGTTTTTAACGACGTCGGAAAAATGGATAAGGGCAGCAGTTTTGCGCCCGGCGCTCCCCTCTGATTGGTCGCCTGTCGCCGTAACCTCCGACCCCGAGTCACCCTCCTTTGCCTTCTCTCCGACCTCCGACCCTTCATCGCCACTGGCTGCAATCAAACAAGATGACAAATTAGACAAGGAGCCATCAGAGTCTACGGGGTCTCTGTGCGAGTCTACGGGTCTCTGTGCGAGTCTACGGGTCTCTGTGCGAGTCTACGTGTCTCTAAGTGAGTCTATGGGTCTCTGTGCGAGTCTATGGGTCTCTATGTGAGTCTATGGGTCTCTGTGCGAGTCTACAGGTCTCTGTGCGAGTCTACGGGTCTCTGTGCGAGTCTACTGGTCTCTGTGCGAGTCTATGGATCTTTCTGCGAGTCTATGGATCTCTGTGCGAGTCTACGGGTCTCTGTGCGAGTCTATGGATCTCTGTGCGAGTCTATGGATCTCTGTGCAAGTCTATGGGTCTCTGTGTTGAGTCTATGGGTCTCTGTGCGAGTCCATGGATCTCTATGCGAGTCTGCGAGTCTCTGTGCGAGTCCATGGGTCTGTGTGCGAGTCTACTGGTCTCTGTGTGAGTCCATGGGTGACCGCCGCACAGATCTATGGGTACACTTCTAATCACTGCGCATCACCCACAAGTGCCGCCCCCTTCAGGAAAACATGTGACCTCCTTCCAGGTGCACTGTGGGATACCTCCAGCGTCGGCACCTTGTGCCATGTCTCCATTCTCCTGCTGCTCTTGCTGCTGCTCCTGCTGCTGCTCCTGCTGCTGCTCCTGTTGCTGCTCCTGTTCCTTGGGTTCTTCGCTAGAGAGTAAGGATGGCAAAAGGCTGTAAGGATTCGCACGCAGGGTGGCCTTGCGTTTCATCTCAGTCGTCGTCGCTGTAACAGCCCGCAGCTTTTGTTCCTCGCCTACAACAGCCTCCACCTCCTCTCCCTGCCGAGCCCACCATCATCATCCTGCGACTGCTGCTGCCTGGCCCCCGCATCCCAGCTAAGGCCAGGCCTACCCTAACCCCTATCACTACCCCTATCACTACCCCTATCACTACCCCTATCACTACCCCAACCCCTATCACTACCCCTATCACTACCACTATCACTACCCCTATCACTAACCCAACCCCTATCACTCCCCCTATCACTCCCCCTATCACCACCCCTATCACTACCCCAACCCCTATCACTACCCCAACCCCTATCACTACCCCTATCACTACCACTATCACTACCCCTATCACTACCCCTATCACTAACCCAACACCTATCACTCCCCCTATCTAAACCCCTATCACTACCCCTATCACCACCCCAACCCCTATCACTACCCCAACCCCTATCACTACCCCTATCACCACCCCAACCCCTATCACTACCCCTATCACTACCACTATCACTACCCCTATCACTACCCCAACCCCTATCACTACCCCTATCACTACCCCATCACTACCCCAACCTCTATCACTACCCCTATCACTACCACTATCACTACCCCTATCACCACCCCAACCCCTATCACTACCCCTATCACTACCACTATCACTACCCCAATCACCACCCCAACCCCTATCACTACCCCTATCACCACCCCAACCCCCATCAATACAATACCTGTCAACCACTTATCAGTGCCCTACCTGATTATAGACCAACTCAGACCTTATTGGTTACCCCGTGCCCCTTATAAATCTCAACGTTCATCCTACAAAGTCCCATCACAAGGGAGAAACACAAACACATAGACACAAAGCTGTAGTTGTGTTGTCCGTATTGAAACGGCTGTAGGCCATATGGACTTGAAAACATAAATTTCCCTGTACAAGAATATGGGGCTAGACCGTGATGGGTTGACAGCTCTGCACTACCCCTACATCAACCACTACCCCCTATCACAACCCCTACAACAACCACTACCCCCTATCACAACCCCTACAACAACCACTACCCCCTATCACAATCTCTACATCAACCACTACCCCCTATCACAACCCCTACAACAACCACTACCCCCTATCACAACCCTTACAACAACCACTACCCCCTATCACAACCCTTACAACAACCACTACCCCCTATCACAACCCCTACAACAACCAATACCCCCTATCACAACCCCTACATCAACCACTACCCCCTATCACAACCCTTACAACAACCACTACCCCCTATCACAACCCTTACAACAACCACTACCCCCTATCACAACCCCTACAACAACCACTACCCCCTATCACAACCCTTACAACAACCACTACCCCCTATCACAACCCTTACAACAACCACTACCCCCTATCACAACCCCTACAACAACCAATACCCCCTATCACAACCCCTACATCAACCACTACCCCCTATCACAACCCCTACAACAACCACTACCCCCTATCACAACCCTTACAACAACCACTACCCCCTATCACAACCCCTACAACAACCACTACCCCCTATCACAACCCCTACAACAACCACTACCCCCTATCACAACCCCTACAACAACCACTACCCCCTATCACAACCCCTACAACAACCACTACCCCCTATCACAACCCCTACATTAACCACTACCCCCTATCACAACCCCTACATCAACCACTACCCCCTATCAGAACCCCTACAACAACCACTACCCCCTATCACAACCCCTACAACAACCACTACCCCCTATCATAACCCCTACATCAACCACTACCCCCTATCACAACCCCTACAACAACCACTACCCCCTATCACAACCCTTACAACAACCACTACCCCCTATCACAACCCCTACAACAACCACTACCCCCTATCACAACCCTTACAACAACCACTACCCCCTATCACAACCCTTACAACAACCACTACCCCCTATCACAACCCTTACAACAACCACTACCCCCTATCACAACCCCTACATCAACCACTACCCCCTATCACAACCCCTACATCAACCACTACCCCCTATCACAACCCCTACATCAACCACTACCCCCTATCACAACCCCTACAACAACCACTACCCCCTATCACAACCCTTACAACAACCACTACCCCCTATCACAACCCCTACAACAACCACTACCCCCTATCACAACCCTTACAACAACCACTACCCCCTATCACAACCCTTACAACAACCACTACCCCCTATCACAACCCCTACATCAACCACTACCCCCTATCACAACCCCTACAACAACCACTACCCCCTATCACAACCCCTACATCAACCACTACCCCCTATCACAACCCCTACAACAACCACTACCCCCTATCACAACCCCTACATCAACCACTACCCCCTATCACAACCCCTACAACAACCACTATCCCCTATCACAACCCCTACATCAACCACTACCCCCTATCACAACCCCTACAACAACCACTACCCCCTATCACAACCCTTACAACAACCACTACCCCCTATCACAACCCCTACAACAACCACTACCCCCTATAGTAAAACACCTCCACATCACCCACACCCCCCCCCAGCACCTCTCATAGTAAAACACCTCCACACCTCTCGTAGTAAAACACCTCCACACCCCTCCACACCTCTCATAGTAAAACACCTCCCCACCTCTCGTAGTAAAACAACTCCACACCCCTCCACACCTCTCATAGTAAAACACCTCCACACCTCTCATAGTAAAACACCTCCACACCTCTCATAGTAAAACACCTCCACACCTCTCGTAGTAAAACACCTCCACACCTCTCATAGTAAAACACCTCCACACCTCTCATAGTAAAACACCTCCACACCTCTCGTAGTAAAACACCTCCACACCTCTCATAGTAAAACACCTCCACACCTCTCATAGTAAAACACCTCCACACCTCTCATAGTAAAACACCTCCACACCTCTCATAGTAAAACACCTCCACACCTCTCATAGTAAAACACCTCCACACCTCTCATAGTAAAACACCTCCACACCTCTCGTAGTAAAACACCTCCACACCTCTCATAGTAAAACACCTCCACACCTCTCATAGTAAAACACCTCCACACCTCTCATAGTAAAACACCTCCACACCTCTCATAGTAAAACACCTCCACACCTCTCATAGTAAAACACCTCCACACCTCTCATAGTAAAACACCTCCACACCTCTCATAGTAAAACACCTCCACACCTCTCATAGTAAAACACCTCCACACCTCTCATAGTAAAACACCTCCACACCTCTCATAGTAAAACACCTCCACACCTCTCATAGTAAAACACCTCCACACCTCTCATAGTAAAACACCTCCACACCTCTCATAGTAAAACACCTCCACGTCGCCAACGTCGCCCGCGCCGCCATCGTCGCCGCCGAGCGGCACCAGGGTCTCCGCGTCGTCGCCCGCGTGCCGGGCCGGCTCGCCGCCCCCCTCCTCCTCCTCCTCCTCCCCGCGCTCGCCCCGCGCCTCTCCCTGGGGGGGGGGGGAGAATCAACGGGGGCGGCTCGGAATCTCACACGAGCGCTTGCTCGGCGCCGCCACCCGGGGAGACAAAGGCGGCCCCCGGGGCGGGCGTCGGCGCCGGTGCCGCGGCAGGCCTGCCCCCACCTCGGCCTACGTAGGCGCTGCTGCTGCTGCTGCTGCTGCTGCTCGCCAACGGCGCTTGCACCCACGGTCTGTTGTGGTCTGTTGAAGGCCCGTACGGGGGAGAGGATGGGTCTTTGTCTGTGCGCGGGCGTGTGGGTGCATAACGCTCACAACAACGAGCGGAGCGCCGGGTGGCTAAAGCGCAGCGGGTTGGCACAGTAGGGGGGCACAGGTGGTGCATCAGCCAGTCGTCTAAGTCAGTCGACCTGTGGCATCTGCTGGGTCTGCCCCGTGACCTCCTGCCAGCGGGCGTTCGACACTTCACGTGGCCTCAAGGTGCACATGGCCTGGCACAAGCGTCGTGGTGACGTCACCGCCACTTAGTGGCGAATGGCGGTTGTTGTTGTTGTAGGTGAGTGTGTGTGATGCAGGTTAGCGTGTATGATGTAGGTGAGTGTGTGTGATGTAGGTTAGTGTGTGTGATGTAGGTTAGTGTGTGTGATGTAGGTTAGTGTGTGTGATGTAGGTGAGTGTGTGATTCAGGTTAGTGTGTGTGATGTAGGTTAGTGTGTGTGATGTAGGTTAGTGTGTGTGATGTAGGTGAGTGTGTGTGATGTAGGTGAGTGTGTGATGTAGGTGAGTGTGTGTGATGTAGGTGAGTGTGTGTGATGTAGGTTAGTGTCTGGCACTCACCTACAATGGCGGTTACGGTTGTTGTTGTTGTTGCATAACAGTAGCTGGATGTCATATTCTTTGGGTCATTCGGTAAAGTCACGTAGATAGGTTCAAAGAAATAACAAAAATAACAAACAAAAAAACACGTTACTTTACCGGAAGTCCCAAAGAAAATGAATTCCTGCAGTCACGAAAGCTTTAAGTCAAGATTTAGTAGCTGGATGTGCGAGTTGTTGATTGCGGTTGTTGATGTATAGGGTTGTGTGTGTGTGTGTGGTGGGGGAGAGCGCGTTTGTGTGTGTGTGAAGGGTGATGGGGAGCGGTGGTGTCGTGGTTAGCGCTGACCTGCGCTACGAACCCGGCGTCCCGAGTCCAATTCCCGCTCAAGGCCAACACCAACACCGGTGACGATTATCTGAAACGGCCCTGGGCCTCCGCTAGGTCGACTCAGCCTCAAATGAGTACCTGGTGCGGTGTCTAGTAAACATCGCCACTGGGGAGACAAAGGCGGCCGGGCGTGGTGCTGGCCACCCACCCCCTCGTGTGCCGTCCCACCCTTAATAGGTGCCGCTCGCTAACAGCACTTGCCCCTACAGTATGTCACAGGCTATACGGGGGATCTTTGTCTTTGTCGCGTGGTGCATCACAAACCGTGGTGGAGTCTCTGATCCAGTCCTGCAGCCCTCGAAGATTGAAACTCGCCCAGTTTCCTCCATAGTAATCCCTCCTGTGGCACACACGTACACAACACGTGTACACAACACACGTACACAACACGCGTCACTCACGTACACAACACGCGTACACAACACACGTCACTCACGTACACAACACGCGTACACAACACGCGTACACAACACACGTACACAACACGTGTACACAACACGTGTACACAACACGCGTACACAACACACGTACACAACACGCGTCACTCACGTACACAACACGCGTACACAACACACGTCACCCACGTACACAACACACGTACACAACACGTGTACACAACACGCGTCACCCACGTACACAACACGCGTCACTCACGTACACAACACGCGTACACAACACGCGTACACAACACGTGTACACAACACGCGTCACCCACGTACACAACACGCGTACACAACACGTGTACACAACACGCGTCACCCACGTACACAACACGCGTCACCCACGTACACAACACGCGTACACAACACGCGTACACAACACACGCCACTCACGTACACCACATGCGTACACAACACACGTCACTCACGTACACAACACGCGTACACAACACACGTACACAACCCGCGTCACCCACGTACACCACATGCGTACACAACACACGTCACTCACGTACACAACACGCGTACCCAACACGCGTCACCCACGTACACAACACACGTACACAACACACGTCACTCACGTACACAACACGCGTACACAACACACGTACACAACACGCGTACACAACACACGTACACAACCCGCGTCACCCACATACACAACACGCGTACACAACACGCGTACACAACACGCGTCACTCACGTACACAACACACGTACACAACACGCGTCACTCACGTACACAACACGCGTACCCAACACGCGTCACCCACGTACACAACACGCGTACCCAACACACGTCACTCACGTACAAAACCCGCGTACACAACACGCGTCACCCACATACACAACACGCGTCACCCACATACACAACACGCGTCACTCACGTACACAACACGTGTACCCAACACGCGTACCCAACACGCGTCACCCACACGTCACTCACGTACACAACACGCGTACCCAACACGCGTCACCCACGCGGCACTCACGTACACAACACGCGGCACACACGCGCGCGCGCGCTACAGCACGTGGCCCTCACGTCGCCAACAACACGAAATGCCAGACACATTCGTCAAATAACGCTGCCCGGATCAGTCGATCAATTTACTTTGGGTCGGGCCCACTAATGGCTGATGCCACGCTATCGTGGACGTGACATGGGGACGGAGGGATTACAGGGGGCTGCGTGGGGCCAGCCGATATGACGACGGGGGGTAGAATGGGGAGAGAGTCGATATCGGCCACGTAGACGCGAAAGCAGGGAAATGTTATAAACGTGAACAACACAAAATGGTTAGTTTCACAATGATAAACAAAACAAAAAACTACGGGACTATGCTTTGATTGGGTCTATGTGTGTACGCGTCTCTATGTAATTATATGGGTCTCTGTGTGAGTCTATGGGTCTCAGTGTGAGTCTGTGGGTCTCTGTGTAAGTCTATGGGTCTCAGTGTGAGTCTATGGGTCTCAGTGTGAGTCTATGGGTCTCTGTGTAAGTCTATGGGTCTCTGTTTAAGTCTATGGGTCTCTGTGTGAGTCTATGGGTCTTAGTGTGAGTCTATGGGTCTCTGTGTGAGTCTATGGGTCTCAGTGTGAGTCATTAGGTCTCATATTAAGCCTATGGGTCTCTGTCTAAGTAGTGTGGGTCTATGGGTGTGAATGTAATCCTACAGGTCTCTATGCATGCCTTTGGGTATCTGTGTAAATTCATGGATCGACTAATCAATACGCCTGGCTTCATCACAAAAGGAATGAACATCAATTAAAATGAATGAGCGTGATGGAATGAATACATGGGGTCAGTGGTGATGGTGACAATGGTCATATCGATGGCAATTGTGGTGATGGGAATGATGGTGATGATGGCATTGGTGATGGTGGTGATGGGATTGGTGATAGCGGTGATGGTGGTGCATGTGATGGTGATGGGGGAATCGTGAAGGTGATGATGATAATGGGATTGTAGGTTGCGGTGATGATGGTAAAGGCAATGGTGGTGATGGGAAGGGCATGGTGTTGGTGTTGGTGGTGATGGACTGGTGATGGGACTGGTGATGGTGGTGATGGACTGGTGATGGGAAGGGCATGGTGTTGGTGTTGGTGGTGATGGACTGGTGATGGGACTGGTGATGGTGGTGATGGACTGGTGATGATGGTAAAGGCAATGGTGGTGATGGGAAGGGCATGGTGTTGGTGGTGATGGACTGGTGATGGGAAGGGCATGGTGGTGGTAATGGCGGTGATGGGACTGCTGATGGTGGTGCAGGTGATGGTGGTGATGGTGGTGGTGGTGGTGATGGTGGTGATGGTGGTGATGGACTGGTGATGGCAAGGGAATGGTGGTGGTGATGGGACTGATGATAGTGGTCATGGTGGGGCAGGTGATGGTGGTGATGGTGGTGATGTCTGTCACCTGTCCAGATGTAGAACGCTCTGCCCGACACGCGCGCACGCTGCCGCTACAATAGACTCCGGCAAACCTGACAAGACACAAAGACAAAGAGCCCCCGTGTAGCCTTAACAGACTTTTGGGGTAAGTAGAGAGAATCACCTATGAAGGCCGCAACGGCACATGAGTGGGTGGGTGAGTGAGTGGGTGGGTGGGTGAGTGGGTGGGTGAGTGGGTGGGTGGGTGGGTGGGTGGGTGAGTGGGTGGGTGGGTGAGTGGGTGGGTGGGTGGGTGAGTGGGTGGGTGGGTGGGTGAGTGGGTGTGTGGGTGGGTGAGTGGGTGGGTGGGTGGGTGAGTGGGTGGGTGGGTGGGTGAGTGGGTGAGTGAGTGGGTGGGTGAGTGGGTGAGTGAGTGGGTGGGTGAGTGGGTGAGTGAGTGGGTGAGTGGGTGGTTGAGTGAGTGGGTGAGTGGGTGGGTGTGTGAGTGGGTGAGTGACTGAATGAGTGACTGAGTGAGTGGGTGAGTGGGTGGGTGAGTGGGTGGGTGGGTGAGTGGGTGAGTGACTGGGTGAGTGGGTTGATGTTCAGACACCGCACCGGAGTCGACCTAGCAGAGGCCCAAAACCGATTCAGATATTCGCCACTGTTGTTGGTCGTGAACGGGACTCGAACGCAGCCCACCAGGCTCATTGTGCAGTGCGCTAACCACTGCACCCACCGCTCTCCATGTGTTTACATGCCCAGTTCCGTACGCGGTTGGCTTGTCGAACTGTAAATAACCACTCAGTAGTTTATTACAAAACGACAGTTCTATATATGTAGTACAGTTTATACTGCGACTAAACACACCTCTCGATTTAACATTTTATTTCGCACGTTCTTCAAACGTCAAACAACGCAAAAAAATGACTTGACAGGATTCCCGTAGAGGCCTACGGTCGGTTGGGGTGGACTCGTACCGGGGAAGACGCCTCCTCCCCGGTACGGAATCTATCCGAGCGGCGGGAACACCCCCACACAGCGGCACATCTCCGCTCGACAGCGACGACAGCCGCGCGCTGTGGCCGCGTCTGAGGGTAAAAGAATAAAGAGATCGGGAGAGAGAAATAAGATACGTTAAAAAAGGCGCAAATATAAAGTTTTACCCGTGCCCAGTAACACGACATCGAAACGGTCTCCGAGATGCAGGTCGGCCATCTTTGTAAGGGGTGGGCGGGGAGGGGGTGACGTCACCGGGAGGGTTTGTGGGCGTGGTCTTCTCTGCGGGGAGCGGTGGCGCAGCGGTTAGCGCCACGAAACGCCGGCGCTCGCCTGTGTTGTTGATGATAGTGCTGTTGTTGTGTTGATGTTGTTGTTGTGGTGTTGATGTTGTTGTGTTGATGTTGTTGTGTTGTTGTTTTGTTGATGTGTTGATGTTGTTGTGTTGTTGTTGTGTTGTTATGTTGTTGTGTTGATGTTGTTGTGTTGATGTTGTTGTGTTGATATTGTTGTTATTGTGTTGATATTGTTGTTATTGCGTTGATGTTGTGTTGATGTTGTTGATGTTGTGTTTATATTGTTGTTGATATTGTTGTTGCGTTGATATTGCTGTTGTGTTGATATTGTTGTTGTGTTGTTGTGTTGGTATTGTTGTTGTTGTGCGTGCCTCCAGTCTTCAAACCTCACTCCCTGGTGCAATTCAGTCGCCCTGCCACGTCGTGTTCCCATCAATCTTCCCCTCTCACACACGCGGATGGCACGCGTGCCTGTGTGTCTCTGTGTGTGTGCCTGTGTGTGTCTGTGCACCCTGAGGCCTCAGGGTGCACATAGCCTGGCACAAGCGTCGTGGTGACGTCACCGCCACTTAGTGGCGAATGGCGGTTGTTGTTGTGTGTGTCTCTGTGTGTGTGTCTGTGTGTGTCTGTGTGTATGTCTGTGTGTGGGTGTCTGTGTGTGTGTACCTGTGTGTGTGTCTGTGTGTGTCTGTGTGTGCGTCTGTGTGTCTGTGTGTCTGCGTGTGTGCTTGTGTGTGTGTGCGTCTGTGTGTCTGTGTGTGTCTGCGTGTGTGTGTACCTGTGTGTGTACCTGTGCGTGTGTACCTGTGCGTGTGTCTGTGTGTGTGTCTGTGTGACTGGGCATGCCCAGCCACCGCATGCATAAACAGCTTTTGTTCGGCCGGATCGAGGGGGCTAAACGGGCGCGACACGGGTTAGAGAAGATATGGAGTGATGTGGTACAGGAGGACGTGGAGCTGAATGGACTTGCCGATGACTGGTACCAGCGGTGTCAAGATCGGCCTCTGTGGAGGAGGCTCGTGATGGACGCTGCTACTGGGCAGTTGGAGGCAGTCGCCCTCCAACAACAACGGAGGGCGGAAGAGCGACGCTCACAACAACGAGCGGAGCGCCGGGTGGCTAAAGCACAGCAGGTTGGCACAGTAGGGGGCACAGGTGGTGCATCAGCCAGTCGTCTCAGTCATCTCAGTCAATCGACCCGTGGCACCTGCTGGGTCTGCCCCGTGACCTCTTGCCAGCGGGCGTTCGACACTTCACGTGGCCTCAAGGTGCACCTAGCCTGGCACATCCCCTGCTAGACATCCCCTGCTGGTCATCCCCTACTGAACATCCCCTACTGGACATCCCCTACTGGACATTCCCTTATGATTGATTGCTTCTGTGGACAGGTGTCTTTTATATAGGTAACAAGCTCAGATTAGGAGCACTCCCTTTAAGAGTGTGCTCCTAATCTCAGCTCGTTACCTGTATAAAAGATACCTGGGAGTCAGAAATCTTTCTTATTGAGAGGGGGTCAAATACTTATTTCCCTCATTAAAATGCAAATCAATTTATAACATTTTTGACATGCGTTTTTCCGGATTTTTGTTGTTATTCTGTCTCTCACTGTTCAAATAAACCTACCATTAAAATTATAGACTGATCATTTCTTTGTCAGTGGGCAAAATCAGCAGGGGATCAAATACTTTTTTCCCTCACTGTATGTAGTAGTAGCTACGGGCCCCGCACTTTCAAGGGCCCCGCGCTAAATGCTTTCAAGCTATCAATTCCGGTTCGCTGATTCTGCACTTGCTCTATTACTATAGTACTATACCGCCTTCGACTTTTACGAACGACCGGGTGTTTAACGTTAGCGATTTGTCGTGTTATCTGGCTGTACAGCAAATGAAAGAATACAATTACTTTACTTTGCAATTTATATATTTACGTGTTTTAATATATTTTTAGGGCCCATATTTAACATGTGCTACAGGTCCCGCACTAGCTAGATATGGTCAAGGATCACACGCCATCATCCAGCAGTGGATCGAGCACGATACAATAGTTGTGTCATCATGGGCCACATTCACCACCACCAAAGACAAAGATCCCCCGTGTAGCCTTGGGGCAAGTGCCGTTAGCGAGCAGCGCCTATGAAGGCCGGCACGGCGCACGAGGGGGTGGGTGGCCAGCACCACGCCCGCACCGCCTTTGTCTCTCCCCAGCGGCGATGTTTACTGCACACCGCACCAGGGTACTAATTTGAGGCTGAGTCGACCTAGCGGTGGCCCACTGTGGTGTCGGCGGCCGCGAGCGGGAATCGAACTCGTCGCGCAGCGTAGCGCTAACCGCTGCACCACCGCTCCCAATCACCCTACACAGAATCACCCTCCCGTACCACACACAAACAGCCAATACATCAACACCCGCAATCAATAACTCACCCATCCAGCTACTGTTACACACACTAGCCCATCCACAAAGACAAAGATCCCCCGTGTAACCTTAACAGACTGTAGGGACAAGTGCTGTGAGCGGACACCTACGAAGGCCGGCACGGCACACACGAGGGGGTGGGTGGCCATGACCGTCCCCGGCCGCCTTTGTCTCCCCAGTGGCGATGTTTACTGCATGCAGCACCAGGTACTCGTTTGAGACTGAATCGAACTCGGGTCGCCGGGTTCGTAGCCCAGCGCGCTAACCGCTACACTACCGCTCCCCGCTATGTATAAACACACACACACACACGTGCACACACACACATACACACACGTACACACACACATACAAAACAACAACCGCCATTCGCCACTAAGTGGCGGTGACGTCACCGCGACGCTTGTGCCAGGCCATGTGCACCTTGAGGCCACGTGAAGTGTCGAACGCCCGCTGGCAGGAGGTCACGGGGCAGACCCAGGTGCCACGGGTCGACTGACTGAGACGACTGGCTGATGCACCACCTGTGCCCCCTACTGTGCCAACCTGCTGTGCTTTAGCCACCCGGCGCTCCGCTCGTTGGTGTGAGCTTCGCTCCTCCGCCCTCCGTTGTTGTTGGAGGGCGACTGCCTCCAACTGCCCAGTAGCAGCGTCCTTCACGAGCCTCCTCCACAGAGGCCGATCTTGACACCGCTGGTACCGGTCATTGGCAAGTCCACTCAGCTCCACGTCCTCCTGTACCACATCACTCCATCTCTTCTCTAGCCCGTGCCGCGCCCGTTTAGCCCCCTCGATCCGGCCGAACAAAAGCTGTTTCGGCATGCGGTGGCTGGGCATGCGGGCTACATGACCCAGCCAACGCAGCCTGGCATGCCAGAGGAGCTCACCGATGGGACCTTGCTCAGATCTTTCAAGGATTTGTGAGCTACTCACACAATTCAGCCTCGTTAAATCCAGGATGGATCGTAGGCAGGCTAGCCTAAATGTTTCTAACCGGCGAAGATGTTCCATTATGGGGGTCCACGTTTCGCAAGCGTAGAGAAGGGAGGGAATGACCGTGGCCGAGAAGACCTGAAGCTTAGTGCGGAACGACAGACCAGGTAACTTCCACAACTGCCCCATCACCGATTGGGAGCCGTGGGGGTGAAGTGTCCGATGGTACAAAATACCCAGGCAGGTGCTTAGTTTTGGTAGGGCTGATGGTAAGGCCCCATCTCTGAGTGGCACGCTCCAGTCTCAGCAGCAGCGTTTCCAACTCCTCCTCTGAATGAGCAGCTATTACCAAATCATCGGCATACATAACGTGGTTGAGCAATAGGGAGCCATCCCTTGACCGCACCCGGGCATCGATCAGCCTCCCATTATATCAACACACACACATACACACACGTACCCACACACACGAATACAAACACCATCACACACGTGCACGCACCTCGCAATACTGATGAAAAACCAAATCCACTCTGGCCATTGATCGTCTCGGACAGAAGACGCAGAATCGATACGGGGAGCGTCCTGGAGTGTGAATGTGGGAGAGAGTACGGGGGGTGGGGGGTGGGGAGGGCAAGGGCGGTGGAGGAAGGACAACCACACACAGTCACACGACGGAGTCACACCACAGAGTCACATCACAGACTCACATCACTCACCCAGTCACTGGGTGGGTAATGTGACTGGATGAGTGGGGTGAGTGGGTGATGTGACTGGGTGAGTGGGGTGGGTGGGTGATGTGACTGGGTGAGTGGGGTGAGTGGGTGGGTGATGTGACTGGGTGAGTGGGGTGGGTGGGTGGGTAATGTGACTGGGTGAGTGATGTGGGTGGGTGGGTGATGTGACTGGGTGAGTGATGTGGGTTGGTGGGTGATGTGACTGGGTGAGTGGGGTGGGTGGGTGATGTGACTGGGTAGGTGGGTGGGTGGGTGGGTGATGTGACTGGGTGAGTCATGTGGGTGGGTGGGTGATGTGACTGGGTGAGTGATGTGGGTGGGTGGGTGGGTGATGTGACTGGGTGAGTGATGTGGGTGGGTGGGTGATGTGACCGAGACTGAAGTCTGCTGATTGGCGTTTCTGTCAAGTCCTAAAGTCACGTGAGTGACATTGAGAGCGAGTCACATCCACAGAATGAATCACACCAACAGAGCGAGTCACATCTACAGAATGAATCACACCAACAGAGCGAGTCACATCTACAGAATGAATCACACCAACAGAGCGAGTCACATCTACATAATGAATCACACCAACAGAGCGAGTCACATTCACAGAATGAATCTCACCAACAGAGGGCGAGTCACATCTACAGAATGAATCACACCAACAGAGCGAGTCATCCACAGAATGAATCACACCGGCAGAGCGAGTCACATCCACAGAATGAATCACACCAACGGAGCGAGTCGCATCCACAGAATGAATCACACCAACAGAGCGAGTCACATCCACAGAGTGAATCACACCAACAGAGCGAGTCACATCCACAGAATGAATCACACCAACAGAATGAATCACACCAACAGAGCGAGTCATCCACAGAATGAATCACACCGACAGAGCGAATCACATCCACAGAATGAATCACACCGACAGAGCGAGTCACATCCACAGAATGAATCACACCAACAGAGCGAGTCACATCCACAGAATGAATCACACCAACAGAGCGAGTCACATCCACAGAATGAATCACACCAACAGAGCGAGTCACATCCACAGAATGAATCACACCAACAGAGCGAGTCATCCACAGAATGAATCACACCGACAGAGTGAGTCACATCTACAGAATGAATCACACCAACAGAGCGAGTCACATCCACAGAATGAATCACACCGACAGAGCGAGTTACATCCACAGAATGAATCACACCAACAGAGCGAGTCACATTTACAGAATGAATCACACCAACAGAGCGAGTCACATCCACAGAATGAATCACACCAACAGAGCGAGTCACATCCACAGAATGAATCACACCGACAGAGCGAGTTACATCCACAGAATGAATCACACCAACAGAGCGAGTCACATTTACAGAATGAATCACACCAACAGAGCGAGTCACATCCACAGAATGAATCACACCAACAGAGCGAGTCACATCCACAGAATGAATCACACCAACAGAGCGAGTCACATCCACAGAATGAATCACACCGACAGAGCGAGTCACATCCATAGAATGAATCACACCAACAGAGCGAGTCACATCTACAGAATGAATCACACCGACAGAGCGAGTCACATCTACAGAATAAATCACACCAACAGAGCGAGTCACATCCACAGAATGAATCACACCAACAGAGCGAGTCACATCCACAGAATGAATCACACTAACAGAGCGAATCACATCCACAGAATGAATCACACCAACAGAGCGAGTCACATCCACAGAATGAATCACACCGACAGAGCGAGTTACATCCACAGAATGAATCACACCAACAGAATGAATCACACCGACAGAGCGAGTCATCCACGGAATGAATCACACCGACAGAGCGAGTCACATCCACAGAATGAATCACACCAACAGAGCGAGTCACATCCACAGAATGAATCACACCGACAGAGCGAGTTACATCCACAGAATGAATCACACCAACAGAGCGAGTCACATTTACAGAATGAATCACACCAACAGAGCGAGTCACATCCACAGAATGAATCACACCAACAGAGCGAGTCACATCTACAGAATGAATCACACCAACAGAGCGAGTCACATCAACAGAATGAATCACACCAACAGAGCGAGTCACATCCACAGAATGAATCACACTAACAAAGCGAATAACATCCACAGAATGAATCACACCAACAGAGCGAGTCACATCCACAGAATGAATCACACCAACAGAGCGAGTCACATCCACAAAATGAATCACACCGACAGAGCGAGTCACATCCACAGAATGAATCACAGCAACAGAGCGAGTCACATCCACAGAATGAATCACACCGACAGAGCGAGTCACATCCACAGAATGAATCACACCAACAGAGCGAGTCACATCCACAGAATGAATCACACCAACAGAGCGAGTCACATCCACAGTGAGTCGCGTCCACAGAGTGATCACCACACAGACCCACAGACTTACACACAGACCCACAGACTTACACACAGACCCATAGACTTACACACAGACCCATAGACTTACACACAGACCCATAGACTTACACACAGACCCATAGACTTACACACAGACCCATAGACTTACACACAGACCCAAAGACTTACACACAGACCCATAGACTTACACACAGACCCGTAGACTTACACACAGACCCATAGACTTACACACAGACCCATAGACTTACACAGATCCGTAGACTTACACATAGACCCATAGACTTACACACAGACCCATAGACTTACACACAGACCCATAGACTTACACACAGACCCATAGACTTACACACAGACCCATAGACTTACACACAGACCCATAGACTTACACACAGACCCGTAGACTTACACACAGACCCATAGACTTACACATAGACCCATAGACTTACACACAGACCCATATACTTACATACAGACCCATAGACTTACACACAGACCCATAGACTTACATACAGACCCATAGACTTACACACAGACCCATAGACTTACATACAGACCCATAGACTTACACACAGACCCATAGACTTACATACAGACCCATAGACTTACACACAGACCCATAGACTTACACACAGACCCATAGACTTACATACAGACCCGTAGACTTACACACAGACCCATAGACTTACACACAAACCCATAGACTTACACACAGAACCATAGACTTACACACAGACCCATAGACTTACACACAGACCCGTAGACTTACACACAGTTCCATAGTCTTACACACAGACCCATAGACTTACACACAGACCCATAGACTTACACACAGACTCATAGACTTACACATAGACGCATAGACTTACACATAGACCCATAGACTTACACACAGACCCATAGACTTACACACAGAACCATAGACTTTCACACAGACCCATAGACTTATACACAGACCCGTAGACTTACACACAGTTCCATAGACTTACACACAGACCCATAGACTTACACACAGACCCATAGACTTACACACAGACTCATAGACTTACACACAGACGCATAGACTTACACACAGACCCATAGACTTACACACAGACCCATAGACTTACACACAGACCCATAGACTTACACACAGACCCATTGGATCAAGTTACGAAGCGTCTTATCATCTAGAAATATAGCGAAATAGTTCGTGTCCGTGTGTACAAGCGGGTTGTGTCTCTACCCTTGGCTATAGGTGCCTCTGCTTAGTTTCTAGAAATAGGCACTCGGCATTTTCATGAATATCTGCTGACTATAAGACGCAATCTGATGGATACACACACAGACCAAGAGAAATATCCCCCGTATAACCATTCTGCAGGCTGTTGGGGAAAGTGCTACTCGCTTAAAAGCACTTGCCCCCTTCAGCGCGTGTAGGCTACCCGGGCGACATTTATCTTTGTGGGTTCCTACTCGTTTAACAGCACTTGTCCCTACCGCGTGTGTAGGCTACCCGGGGGACCTTTATCTTTGTGGGTCCCTACTCGCTTAACAGCACTTGCCCCTACCGCGAGTGGAAGCTACCCGGGCGACCTTTATCTTTGTGGGTTCCTTCTCGCTTAACAGCACTTGCTCCTACAGCGAGTGGAAGCTACCCGGGCGACCTTTATCTTTGTGGGTTCCTGCTCGCTTAACAGCACTTGCCCCTAGAGCGAGTGGAAGCTACTCGGGCGACCTTTATCTTTGTGGGTTCCTGCTCGCTTAACAGCACTTGCCCCTACCGCGTGTGTAGGCTACCCGGGAGACCTTTATCTTTGTGGGTTCCTGCTCGCTTAACAGCACTTGCCCCTAGCGCGAGTGGAGGCTACCCGGGCGACCTTTAGCTTTGTGGGTTCCTCCTCGCTTAACAGCACTTGCCCCTACCGCGAGTAGAATCTACCTGGGCGACCTTTATCTTTGTGGGTTCCTCCTCGCTTAACAGAACTTGCCCCTACAGCGAGTGGAGGCTACCTGGGCGACCTTTATCTTTGGCGTGGATCGATCATGTTTGGTGCAAGCGATGTGTTCATGGCGTTGTTGTTGGTAATGTTGTCGTTGTTGTTGTCTCTCTCCACCCTCTCCACCCTCTCCACCCTCTCCTCTCTCCACCCTCTCCACCCTCTCCTCCCTCTCCTCTCTCCACCCTCTCCACCCTCTCCTCTCTCCACCCTCTCCTCTCTCTCCACCCTCTCCTCTCTCCTCCCTCCACCCTCTCCTCCCTCCACCCTCTCCTCCCTCCACCCTCTCCACCCTCCACCCTCTCCTCCCTCCACCCTCTCCACCCTCCACCGTCTCCTCTCTCCACCCTCTCCTCTCTCCTCTCTCCACCCTCTCCTGTCTCCACCCTCTCCTCTCTCCACCCTCTCCTCTCTCCACCCTCTCTCTCTCTCCACCCTCCACCCTCTCCTCTCTCCACCCTCTCCTCTCTCCACCCTCTCTCTCTCTCCACCCTCTCCTCTCTCCACCCTCTCCTCCCCCACTCCGAGAGAGAGGGGGGAGGGGCGAGCTGTGGTCACGCCCCGCCCCGCGCTGCTGCTGCTGCCGCTCGGTGTCACTTCTCCAGCACAGCCTGCGAGAGCCCTCAACCAGTGGTGGGACCTCTACCAAGTGGTGGGACCTCAACCAGTGGTGGGACCTCAACCAGTGGTGGGACCTCTACCAGTGGTGGTACCTCAACCAGTGGTGGGACCTCAACCAGTGGTGGGACCTCAACCAGTGGTGGGACCTCTACCAGTGGTGGGACCTCAACCAGTGGTGGGACCTCTACCAGTGGTGGGACCTCTACCAGTGGTGGGACCTCTTCCAGTGGTGGGACCTCTACCAGTGGTGGGACCTCTACCAAGTGGTGGGACCTCTACCAGTGGTGGGACCTCTACCAAGTGGTGGGACCTCTACCAGTGGTGGGACCTCTACCAAGTGGTGGGACCTCTTCCAGTGGTGGGACCTCTACCAGTGGTGGGACCTCTACCAGTGGTGGGACCTCTACCAAGTGGTGGGACCTCTTCCAGTGGTGGGACCTCTTCCAGTGGTGAGACCTCTTCCAGTGGTGGGACCTCTACCAGTGGTGGGACCTCTTCCAGTGGTGGGACCTCTTCCAGTGGTAGGACCTCTTCCAGTGGTGGGACCTCAACCAGTGGTGGGACCTCTTCCAGTGGTGGGACCTCTTCCAGTGGTGGGACCTCTATCAGTGGTGGGACCTCTATCAGTGGAGGGACCTCTATCGTCACAGCAAGCGGTGAGACCTCTACCAGTGTTGGGACCTCTATCATCACAAGCAGTGGTGGGACCTCTATCATCACAAGCAGTGTTGGGACCTCTATCATCAACAGCAAGTGGTGAGACCTATATCATCACAACCAGTGGTGGGACCTCTATCATCACAATGCAGTGTGTCCGTGTGAGTGTGTGTGTGTCCGTGTGAGTGTGTGTGAGTGTCTCTGTGTGAGTTTGTGTGAGTGTGTCCGTGTGAGTGCGTGTGAGTGTGTCCGTGTGAGTGTGTGTGAGTGTGTCCGTGTGAGTGTGTGTGAGTGTGTGAGTGTGTCCGTGTGAGTGTGTGTGAGTTTGTGTGTCCGTGTGAGTATGTGTGAGTGTGTCTGTGTGAGTGTGTGTGAGTGTGTGTGTATCCGTGTGAGTGAGTGTGTCCGTGTGAGTGTGTGTGAGTGTGTTCGTGTGAGTGTGTGAGTGTGTGTCCGTGTGAGTGTGTGTGTGAGTGTGTCTGTGTGAGTGTGTCCGTGTGAGTGTGTGTGAGTGTGTCCGTGTGAGTGTGTGCGAGTGTGTCCGTGTGAGTGTGTGTGTGTCTGTGTGAGTGTATCCGTGTGAGTGTGTGTGAGTGTGTCCGTGTGAGTGTGTGAGTGTGTCCGTGTGAGTGTGTGTGAGTGTGTCCGTGTGAGTGTGTGTGAGTGTGTACGTGTGAGTGTGTGTGAGTGTGTCCGTGAGAGTGTGTGAGTGTGTCCGTGTGAGTGTGTGTGAGTGTGTCCGCGTGTCTGTGTGAGTGTGTGAGTGTGTCTGTGTGTCCGTGTGAGTGTGTCAGTGTGAGTGTGTCCGTGTGTGTGTGTCCGTGTGAGTGTGTGAGTGTGTCTGTGTGAGTGTGTCCGTGTGAGTGTGTGAGTGTGTCCGTGTGAGTGTGTGAGTGTGTCCGTGTGAGTGTGTCCGTGTGAGTGTGTGTGAGTGTGTCCGTGTGAGTGGGTGAGTGTGTGTGTGTCCGTGTGAGTGTGTGTGAGTGTGTCCTTGTGAGTGTCTGAGTGTGTGTCCGTGTGAGTGTGTGTGTGTGAGTGTGTCTGTGTGAGTGTGTCCGTGTGTGTGAGTGTGTCCGTGTGAGTGTGTGCGAGTGTGTCCGTGTGTCTGTGTGAGTGTGTGAGTGTGTCTGTGTGTCCGTGTGAGTGTGTCAGTGTGAGTGTGTCCGTCAGTGTGAGTGTGTCCGTGTGTGTGTGTCCGTGTGAGTGTGTGAGTGTGTCTGTGAGTGTGTCTGTGTGTCAGTGTGAGTGTGTGTGTGTCTGTGTGAGTGTGTGTTTGAGTGTGTCCGTGTGAGTGTGTCCGTGTGAGTGTGTGAGTGTGTGTGAGTGTGTCTGTGTGAGTGTGTCCGTGTGAGTGTGTGTCTGTGTGAGTGTGTGTCCGTGTGAGTGTGTAAGTTTGTCCGTGTGTGTGTGTCTGTGTGTGTGTCTGTGTGTCAGTGTGAGTGTGTGTGTGTCTGTGTGAGTGTGTGTTTGAGTGTGTCCGTGTGAGTGTGTGTGAGTGTGTCCGTGTGAGTGTGTGAGTGTGTGTGTGTCCGTGTGAGTGTGTGTGTCCGTGTGAGTGTGTCCGTGTGAGTGTGTGTGAGTGTGTCCGTGTGAGTGTGTGAGTGTGTGTGAGTGTGTCCGTGTGAGTGTGTCCGTGTGAGTGTGTGTCTGTGTGAGTGTGTCTGTGTGAGTGTGTGTCCGTGTGAGTGTGTGAGTGTGTCCGTGTGTGTGTGTCTGTGTGTGTGTCTGTGTGTCAGTGTGAGTGTGTGTGTGTGTCTGTGTGAGTGTGTGTTTGAGTGTGTCCGTGTGAGTGTGTGAGTGTGTATGTGTGTGTCCGTGTGGTTAGCGCGCTGCGCTATGAACCTGGCGACCCGGGTTCGATTCCCGCTCACGGCCAACACAAGTGACGATTATCTGAACCGGTCCCGGGCCTCTCCTAGGTCGACTCTGCCTCAAATGAGTACCTGGTGAGGCGTGTAGTAAACATCGCCACTAGGGAGACAAAGGCGGCCGGGCGTGGTGCTGACCACCAACCCCCTCGTGTGCCCTGCCGGCCTTCATAGGTGCTGCTCGCTAACAGCACTTGCCCCTACAGCCTGTGAAGGCTACACGGGGGGTCTTTGTCTTTGTGGTGTGTCTGTGTGCCAGTGCGTTCGAGGCCGACTCCATCACGATGACCCTTTACGCTCCACTCAACCTGAACCTTCATTACGTGACATCATCATCAGCTACATCATCATCAGCTACATCATCATCATCAGCTAGCCTCCATCAAAACATCAGCTCTCCTCCAATAGCACCCACATCAACATCATCAACGTCATCATCTACACCACCATCATCGTCGTCGTCGTCGTCGGCATCCTTATCAACATCCTTATCAACAACAACAACAACTTCGTCCGCGCGCACGCCACCACAACTTTCGCCTCCGATGCTTGCCCTTAGACCGGACACCTCCCCAGCATCCAACAACAACCACAACAACCACAACAACACCACCACCACCACCACCGCCACCGTCCCCAAATTCGTTCGCCCGCCGTCACCCCCGAGACACGCGCCGAGCGCCTGCACCGCGATTCCCATCGAAAGCACCGCAGCCAACAACAAATGCCGCCCCGTGCACCTCATGGGCGCTCACGTCGCCTCGTTCACCGTCGAAGGCCGCCAGCTCATCTGCCTGCCCCAGGCCTTCGAGCTGTTCCTCAGGAGCCACGTGGGAGGCCTCCACACCGTCTACACAAAGCTCCGGAGGCTGGGGATCGCGCCCTCGGTGTGCAACGTGGAACAGGTCCGCTCGCTCCGTGGCCTGGGGGCCATCCAGCCGGGCGTGAACCGATGCAAGCTCATCTCGAGGGCGGACTTCGAGGTTCTGTACAGCGACTGCGCCAGCGCCGGGTGAGGAACAGGGAGTGAGATGAGAGAGATGATGAGAGAGAGAGATGATGAGAGAGAGATGAGAGAGATGATGAGAGAGATGAGAGAGATGATGAGAGAGATGAGAGAGATGACAGAGAGAGAGATGAGAGAGATGACAGAGAGAGAGATGAGAGAGAGATGGGAGAGATGAGAGAGAGATGGGAGAGAGAGAGGAGAGATGACAGAGAGAGATGAGAGAGATATGGGAGAGAGAGATGAGAGAGATGACAGATGACTGAGAGAGATGAGAGAGAGATGACAGAGAGAGATGAGAGAGAGAGAAATAAGAGAGAAATGAGAGATGACAGAGAGAGATGAGAGAGATGGGAGAGATGAGAGAGATGAGAGAGATGACTGAGAGAGATGAGAGAGATGACAGAGAGATGAGAGAGAGATGAGAGAGAGATGACTGAGAGAGATGAGAGAGAGGTGACAGAGAGATGACAGAGAGAGAGATAAGAGAGAGATGACAGAGAGAGATGAGAGAGATGACAGAGAGATGACTGAGAGAGATGAGAGAGATGACAGAGAGAGATAAGAGAGAGGTGACAGAGAGATGACAGAGATAAGAGAGATGAGAGATGAGAGAGATGACAGAGAGATGACTGAGAGAGATGAGAGAGATGACAGAGAGAGATGGGAGAGAGATGACAGTGGAGAGAGATGATGGAGAGAGAGATGACAGAGAGAGAGATGAGAGAGAGGTGACAGAGAGATGACAGAGAGGAGAGAGATCATAGATGAGAGAGAGATGGGGGAGGAGTAGGAGCAGGGTGTATCTCTCTTGCACGCGTCCGTGTGAGGTTGCGTGCGGCACTGCATCCAGGCTCTGCCGGGCACCTGTAAGTCGCTGTGCTGGGAACGAATCCGCGCGTTATTTTTCTTTTTGCCATCACAGGAATCAAGGAGATGCTCGGTGCAGTCCCCACTTTGCTTCGTTCAGCATTCAGTTTGTTTTCCAATGCTTTGCTTTATGTGCTCCTCCATCCCCTCCCCCTTTAAATGAAAGTTCTGTTCACGTGGTACAGACCTCACTAAGTTGGCCGTGTCGGGCTTCAAGGCGCATATTGGGGGGGCACAGGTGGTGCATCTGGCAGTAGTCATCTCAGTCAGTCGACCCGTGGCACCTGCTGGGTCTGTCACCGTGACCTCCTGCACCTAGCCTGGCACAGTAGCGGGTCACAGGTGGTGCATCTGGCAGTAGTCATCTCAGTCAGTCGACCCGTGGCACCTGCTGGGTCTGTCCCCGTGACCTCCTGGTGCACCTAGCCTGGCACAGTAGCGGGGCACAGGTGGTGCATCTGGCCGGTAGTCATCTCAGTCAGTCGACCCGTGGCACCTGCTGGGTCTGTCACCGTGACCTCCTGCACCTAGCCTGGCACAGTAGCGGGTCACAGGTGGTGCATCTGGCAGGTAGTCATCTCAGTCAGTCGACCCGTGGCACCAGCTGGGTCTGTCACCGTGACCTCCTGGTGCACCTAGCCTGGCACAGTAGCGGGGCACAGGTGGTGCATCTGGCCGGTAGTCATCTCAGTCAGTCGACCCGTGGCACCTGCTGGGTCTGTCACCGTGACCTTCTGGTGCACCTAGCCTGGCACAGTAGGGGGGCACAGGTGGTGCATCTGGCAGGTAGTCATCTCAGTCAGTCGACCCGTGGCACCAGCTGGGTCTGTCACCGTGACCTCCTGGTGCACCTAGCCTGGCACAGTAGGGGGGCACAGGTGGTGCATCTGGCAGGTAGTCATCTCAGTCAGTCGACCCGTGGCACCTGCTGGGTCTGTCACCGTGACCTCCTGGTGCACCTAGCCTGGCACAGTAGGGGGGCACAGATGGTGCATCTGGCAGGTAGTCATCTCAGTCAATCGACCCGTGGCACCTGCTGGGTCTGTCCCCGTGACCTCCTGCCAGTGGGCGTTCGACACCTCACGTGGACTCAACGTGCACCTAGCCTGGCACAACCCGCGCCGTGGTGACGTCACCGCCACTTAGTGGCGAGTGGAGGTTGTCGTTGTTGTCGTTGTTGTTGTTGTGTGTGCCGTGCCCGCCTTCATACGATGAGCTCGCTAACAGCACTTGCCCCGGCAGTCTGCTCCAGGCTACACGGGGCATCTTCGTCTTTGTGTCGTATCGTGCCAGATGGCGTCTTTGTGCGCGCTGCCCTCTCGCTGCGCGGCGGCTTGCACCGATTCAAAGGGCAGCGAGCACTTTGCCTCGTCGCACATCGGGCAGCCGAGGGCAGCCGAGGGCAGCCGAGGGGCAGCAGCAGCAGAGGGGCAGCCCCCCCCGAGCCAGTAGCGCTCCCCTCTGTGCAAACAGCACGGAGTTGATTGATGGTTTTTGGATCGTGCGAGACGGCCAGAAATATTTACGTTTTCATTTGTTGTGTTGTTTGGTGGGTTGGGGAGGGAGGGAGGAGGGGAGGGGGAGGAGGGAGGGGAGGGGGGGAGGGGAGGGGGGAAGGGGAGGGAGGGAGGAGGGG